ATTTGCTTTAGCGATAACTCGGTAGCAAAATAGCAATGCAGGCATCCATTCAGTTATGTTTAGCAATTTTTATATAAATTATAATAATGATCTGAAATAGTTATTTACTCTTATGCTTCCAGTGCTGCAGTTCCTTTGCATGTGGCCTTCGGCTCCACAGTTCCAGCACTTTAAGGTCGGTTTCTTGTCACTAATATTCCCAAGGCACTGACTTGCCTGGTAAAATCTTCTGTTTTATTTTCTGTGCCCTGGGGTGTTCTGCAATTCCATCGTATGTGGCCTTCAGTGCTACATTTCCAACAATTTAGAGCCAGTTTGTTCTCACGCCTACTCCGTATCAAAGCATTGACTTGTCTGCATAAATCATCTAATCGAACCATCAACTGAGCCACTTGCTTGTGGACTTGTACAACTCTGACTGGTTGGCGATCTTTACCAATTGCTGGGCTGCCTCGAATTTCATGACGCACACTAGAGCGCTTTTTAAATCCTTGACATCCGCCATTTGTAGAGCTTTCTGTGTTTCAAGATCCCAGATGCTGTCGATGAAGTGCTGCAAGGAGAGAATTTCGCGTTTCTGTCTGACATTCCAAAAAGGTGAGATGAAACAGCCTTTTGACATCCGTGGCTAGTTGAGTGTTTTCGTGAGCTTCTGCTGACAGGGTTTTAATTGAAGAAGCCTGCTGTAGTCTTTTCTTCCCAAAGTGTAGCTCCAATGCACCAGACAGAGCTTCGAAATCTAGCCTTTTGTTTCGGGAAAAGTCTGAAGGATACCCGCTGAATCTGCTCTCAGAGAAACGGCGAGATGACAGGCCTTAGCTTGGGGATTCCATCCAATCACTTCCACCACTATAGAAAATTGTGTCTTATATTCTTGCCATGAGGTTTACTACTTAAGTAGATAGCTTCAAAGAGGAATGAGTAGGCACGGGTAAAAATTTAAATCCATCAGAATTGCTTCCTGCTGGCATTATGCATTTCTTTAACGTGTCACCTACTTTGGCAACAGCAGCAGAAACTCTGTTTTTAATTTGTTCTTGAATGGTAGAAACTCTTTCTTCAATTTGTTGCTACACTGCAGAAATTCTTTCTTTAATTTCTCCAACTTTGTCTTCAACTATGTCTATTATGCCTTCCACAGCCTCGAATTTGGTTTCAATTATTCAGGCAATGTCTCCTTTCATTTGTTCTTTACTTGCTTCAATCTCTTCTTGTAAACATTCATCTCTTCTTTAAAAGTTACTTCACCAGCTCTATTATTTCTTTAACAGATTCTTGGCCCGCACTCATTCCTGTTTTAACAGCTGTCATCTCTTTTTTAACAAATTCTTTTCCCACTTTAATCTCTTCTTTAAAGGATGCTTGCCCAGCTTCCATCTTGCAAGAGCAGTGACGAGCCGTCATAATTGTTCTTCCATTGCTTTTGTAATTGGCATTCAACCCCACTCCTGACACCAAAAATGTTGCTTGTATACAGGTTGGTAACAGACTGAATGCCCAAGTCCGATAAAACATTAATAAAATTTATTCTTATCAAAAGAAATACAGCAAAACATTGGATTTTCCTCAAAGATATTCGTATACTGTCACAATATCATACAATATAAACAGTACCTATATTTTAAACTACTAAAACATTAAATAGAACACAATCCAAAGCACAGATTATATCTGAGGATGTATAATCCAATCTCACCACGAATTCGCTACAATCAACAACAACAGTTATCTAAACAACTGAGCTGAGTTGTTTCTCTTAGGCTTTTATAGCTTTTTAAATCGGCCACACGAGGTGGTTCTAGCAATTTCTGGAAGGCAAAAAGAGCAGAATTACAGTTACAGCTAACATAATAGTCAATTACATTTATTTAAATTAAATATCAATTACAGAAATAAACTTTTATTCAATGTTAAATGCACACATGCTCTTGTATTTTTAATTTTCCAACATAGCTTTCTCTTAAAATATATCTTGTGCTGCATTGCATGAGGAAATAAATCCTTTTTATTATAATTCTACTAATATTAGCTATTTAAATACCAATTTCATAACAATATATATGGGTTCAGAATGCTGTTGACGAAATTTTCAGATCGTAAACTTCTTTTAAAAAACACTCATTATATTTAAGACAATTTTTTACATTTAACACATTAAAAAGACTTGGCTGCAATGTATTTTCTACCACTCTGTATGTGATAAAGCAACATATCTGTAAAGCTGGTATATACAAAGAAATCATTACACATATGCAACTAGGACTATTTGACAAAGCACCTTCATACAACAAAAAAGTTCACTCACAAAATCATACACAGCCACATTTGAAAATTACTCTAATAAAATGCACAAGGTAAGAAAAAAGAAATCTAAAGGAGGTAGAATAAGTAATATATCCAGTGTTATTCAAACTATGGATCATGACCCCCAAAAATATCTTCCAACATTTGAAGTGACAGTACATATGTGAGGATGTCCCTAGAAACACATCTGAAAAACAAAAGTTGTCATAATACATCACTAGTCAAATAATACATTATAATATGTAACTGTGAACCTTTATTATCTATTATCAAATAAAGATGCATATAATCATACCTGCCAACCTCTAAAGATAAAAATTCAGAAGATTTCTCCCCCAAATTCAGAAGAACACTAAGAATTAATATCATGCTTTGATATTAAAAAAATAACAATTTATACAAATAGAAAAAAGAAAATTGTACTTACATTAGTAAATCTTCCATCAGCTCTTTTTATTCTTTTTAAGGTAAGAACGAGGACATCAAGTCTATCTTCTCCAGAACTGGCAAAGTCTTCAAACTGTGCACTTTTTACACTTTTTTCCAGATAGAAAAACACATCAATCAGAAGCTGGTCAATATTTAATGGTAAAGCAGATGCAGCTTTTTCTGCTGCCAAATTAATTAAGTGGCATGGGCATCCAATAACAATTAATTCATTTTGTTCTTTTTTGAGGAAAGAGGCTACACCTTTTTTGTCACCCACCATGACATGAGCATTATCTGCACCAAATGAAATGCAGTTTGATATTGGGATGTTAAGTTGTTTCAACTCATTAATTACCAAGCAGGCAATATTTTCCCCCGTAGTGTCTCCATTTAACAATGGAAGATGCAAAAGATGAGTTTTCATTTCATTAGAAACATCACAGAAATATGTGACAACGATGGGGTAAAGCTTCCAATCGCTGTTGTTGCTGCCATCGATTGACACCGAAAATGCTGAATTCTGGAGTGCAGCTATCGTTTTACTTTGTGCATCGCAAGCAATTTCGTTCACAATAGAAGATGTTTTCGTGCGAGCACAAGCATATTTCTCAGCAATCTTGGAGTCGGGAAACATCCGTCTGGAAAGTTGACCGGCGTGATCAGCAGCGCTTAGCAGCACGTTGTGTTCGATGAGGAATGCAGTAAACAAACACTCTGCCAAAATGATATCGGCATCCAAATTCGTAGCCGAATTTGAAAAAAAATCACCCACTTTCTTTGACATTGTCGAAGCTGAAGCATTAACTTCATGCTTTTTAGACTTAACATGCTTCACAATGTCGCTTCTTCCACCGTGACTTCTTATGAAGTCACACACGTACACGTTTCAAAATGCACAGTTATTTCCTTTGAAGGATTCTTTAATTGTTGGAAATCCGATTTTGTAGGCAGGCCAAAAATATTAAGAATACGTTTTTTTTTAACTCATTTCGTAACATCGACGTATTAAGAAAATTCGTACCACGTGCAAACAAAAAAACAACAACAACAAAAAAAAAAAAAAAAAAAACAGAATGCGACAATCCACGCTCGCTGAGCAATTCCCTTGCTGCTGAAGCGAACACGAAAAAAATAATCTGGCGCCCACAAAGAAAAGAGTGGGAGAAACAAGTTCAGCGCATTGGATTGGCTGGTTAAGCGGCGAATTGGGAAAAACCGCAGGTTACTGGATTCGAAGTAGTCGGTAGTTGGCGGTAAAACACGATGCAATTGGTGAAAATCGCTGAATTGGTGAAAAGTTCTAAAATTTCGACAAAAATCACTAAAAACACTTGAAAAAGGAAATCGTAAAAAATGGATTACAATCGTAAAATCGTAAAGACAAACGCATTTTTGTAAAAATTACGAAAAATTCGTAAAAGTTGGCAGGTATGATATAATGCTTTTTAACACACCCTCTTCTCGATGCCAAGATCCTAAGTAACTTAGTAAATACTCCACTGAATGCTGTTCCCATAGAAGGCAGATCTTAAAATCTTTTTTAAATTGCAAAGAAAAGAGAGATTATCAGTTAACTTATATCCTTCTTTACAAAAGCTAAATAAGCTTATTGAAAATTAGTTGGGTTTACATAAAAGTATGGCAACACCTTATGACCACTAGCAATGGCACACTTATCCATTATATTGCCAGTAAATCATTATCTGGCAATAGTTTTCATTTGATGGAAAGGATGTGCATGGGAGTATCAAGTTCCAAGATCAGATTCTTGAAATAATAAGATAGCTTACAATTGTGTGGGGGGTAGCATCGTGTTCTGTAAGAAAGTAACTGTGTTTACACTTTAGATGTTTAAGTGCCATAAAGCGGGCCTAAATAATAGTCCTACACATGCTTTATGACGACTTCACAATTCTCTCATTTGTTTTAATTTTCTTTTTTTTAAGTCCTAAAATAGACTGATTGCTTGCTGCACTTAAATCAATATATAAAGAAATAATATACAGATAGCCACTTTCGATGAACACTATACAATGATACTAAAAGCAATTTTATTAAACTACTTTATTTAAAATATGATAGTTACTAATTATTTCCTGTACCGAGATAAATATGAACCTAAAATTTCTTAGAACAATAAGAAAGACTCGATTTTGTAAAATAAACAATTTAAAAAAAATATCACAAAATGCAATATATTCCTAATTCTAAACAGCTAAAGTTTGAAAATTACTTTAAAAAAATCTTTTATAACATTCATGAGTTACCTCATCAAGTATTATATTAACAATAGCACGCATAGTATCATCATCATCCACCATGGAATTTAAAGTCTCAGTCAGTGGCTGAATTCTCCTTTCAAATTTACCAGGACACATTGTTATTTCATTCAAAAAAGAACGTAATTCTTGAACAGGATAAGAATCAGATAAAGAATCTATGAGAGATTCTTCTGGTACCTAAAAAAAAAATTTTAAAAATCAATATTATTGCCAATACAACAAGAATATAAAATATTTCCCAGAGCAATGAAAATATTGAAAATATCCTGCTCTGATATTGTTATTGCCTTTAATAAGTGGTTGTGGCATAGCTGGACCTTTTGTGCCACTATGCACAGAATTCTCTAAGTATGCAATAGGTATTCTGATATGAGCAATGTTGTTAAAAACTCAATTATGTAAAATACACACATTGATAAACTTATAATGCTGATTAAATACTTAATTTTATGTAATAATAATACACAAAGCCAATTAAATACATAAAGCAAACACAATATACTGTAGCTGCAGTAATATTATTTTGACAGGATTGTTTATGTTGAACATTATTAACCTTCTAAAACCGGGCCGAAATTCTCATAATATAGCCTTCAGACCAGCGCGATCCGAAACAGTTTTGCCCCCTCTTTGACATTTTCCTAATGAGAAAAGTCGTTAGTCCCCCTCCTAAAGGGTGAAGTAAAATTTACATGTTTGTCGGACGCTTATGCCCCATAGTAGAGGGGTTGCTAGATTTGCAATTTTTTCGATGATTATTTTGCTTTCATTTAAATGAAGTTCTAAATAAATAGTGCATAAATAAATATGCAGTACTGGATGCATATCCAGTGCACAATTTATTTAGAACAAAATGTATGCAATGTTTATATTCCACTCACTATTTCTGATCAATCTCGTAAATAATTTGTGAATTTTTTAACTTTTTCACTCTTCATTTATATTCGCATATTTTCGTATTAGAAATTAGAAAACGAAAACAAAATTTAACAAAATATAGTAAATACGGACTAGCTTTGTAAATCTGCAGGCTGGAATGCAATTTTTAATAACATGTTTTCATTAACAAAATAATGGTAATGACTAATTTAATGAAATAATATTTATTACCATTAGATGATTAGAATGGGATTCAATACAATTAGATTTTGAGATGAACTTACAGCAATAATAAAGCTTTAATAGCAATAACAGAGATTTAAATCTGCTTTTTTTGATAATTTTGTTATTATAATATAAAAATCAAAATCCGAGATACATTGGTTGCGTTTCATCATTTAACTTTAACAAATATTACATTGGACTATCAGGCAAAGGAGGTATATCTTTAACGAGAATTCTTTGTAAAATTGGTTTTTGTTTATGTTAGCAGAGAAAAAAATCTGTGACTTATACATGCAATCATCAAAAGAATTTTGAGAACAATTTTAAATGTTCATGAATAATTAATTATACGTCAATTTCTTTTCATAGGCAGAAATTTCGTCAAAAACCATCGTTATATCCAAAGGTTGAAGTCTATTTCATTTTCAACGAATATTCTATTTGCACATAATATATTTCTAATTTATTTAGAAAGAGTAATCTTTCACAATTTCAAAGAATAAGAACATACTGGTGTGTTGACACAATGTAGTAAATCTGTTTTTCATATTTCTTCCAGTAATGAAAACGATTACCCTGGAATATTTTCAAAGCAAAATTAAGAAAACCGCTTATGCCAAATTTTGCATAAAGTATCTTCTCGTGTATTTTTTATTTAAATTGTGAAATTTTCTCTTTGAAAATATAAAAAATCATGAACGGAGCAAAATTAATTCATGAGAAATAACTTTGAAATGCAATAATTCCATCGTAATATGAAATAGTGGAGAAAAGTGCAATACAGTTTATTTATTCACAAATAATTCCCTCATATGCGTAATTTATGTACTGTTGATTGAGAAATATAGGTTAGTAAATTAAACCAGTTATTTTCAATACTTTTTCTTTATCAATATTTTTACAGGCTCTTCAATAGAGCGGTTAAAGGTGGCTGAACACTTGTAGCTCGCTTGGGTTTGAATTCCGCTAAATAGTTGATTCATTGTTTTTGTGTAACCTAAATGCAAGCCAGCTTCTCTTAGAAAAATCCCTGCGAAGCATAACTCCCCTTATACAGGTAATTGTTGTGGCTTTGATGTAATTCAGTAGCGAACAAAATTAATCCAATCAAACAACAGAACGGGGTTGATTACATGTGGAGTTTTCCACCAGAACGTAAATGCGAGCAATTTTTTTCTTAAAAAGGTTTACACGAAAGCACCCATCCCCTTAAGCAGAAGCGCCGAGTGCTTTTCCGTAATCCAATCCTAATTTTCCTACATTTAATAGTAAGTTGACATACACCTTGTTACAGACAAAATAACAACCTTTTTTTTTTAAGATATTTTTTTTATTAACTTGTCTGAATTCCCTTTATCTCTTGAGGAGTATAAGAATTTCAGCAAATAAAACTGGCCGAAATTTTATACAACGTAACTGACGTTTTGATTCAATTTAGAAGTAACGTGAGCTTTACTGATGTTTAATACTTTTTAGCAGAGCTCATCCTAAAAGAGGGTCTAAAGATAAATTGATTTTATTTAATCTACAATCAATGAAAATCATTGAAAGCAATCACTGAATGAATGAAAATCGCAAAAACTATATGCATACATTGTCTCTTATTTATCTCCTGATAAATCAGACAAAATTGCCTACATAAGAAGCATTTTGAAAGAGTTAACAGTTCTTAGGGATTTATGCACTCCAAAAAACATATCAAATAAAATCTTATTATTCATAAATATGAAAAGGAAGTAAACGATAAAAGCGGTTTACCTATTTTCTAGAAGGCATTAAATCTAAAATATTTATCTATTCTTATTGCTATGATTAAAAAACATTAAATATGGTAAGCTTAAGAGCGTGCCAAAATCGCTGAGTTTTAATCATAGCAAAAGTCGTATAAAAAAATTAGCATTAAAATATGAGACAGTTTGAGAGAGAAGATGGCCTCTATTTGATTTTCAAGTATATTGGCGAGAGACGAAACCTGCGGTTTTTGCCAAAATGTAGCCAAACTGTCAAGAAGAGGGCTACTCTGAGCAGCGACAATGGACCACCCAGAGATCTACAGATAGGTGATTCTCTAAAATAGGGAGGGCATGGATGGTACAACAGTTGTACCAATGCCGGCGTCAGAGAAAGTCATTCTTCTGGTACAACTGCTGTACCAGCCGGCTTCAGAAAGTTAAACACTGATTATTCCTCCCTTCCTTTCCACTAAGCCATCTTTATTAAGCAAAATTACTATTTTAAAAAATATACTTAATTTTTATTATTTTTCATCAATGGTGAACAAACTAGTAAAAAATTTTAAAGTTTCATTTAAATATTTTCCAAAATTTTGTTATAAACTAAGCTTTTTCCTACAAATATGAACAGAAAATAAGACAATTGAAAGCAAAATACCAAGTTTTAGGTTAAAAAACTATAAATTCACTGAAGGCATATTCAAGACAAATGGGTATCATGATATGAGATGCATTTTCATATAATGTCCAATCATAGTTGATCTTCAACGTGGATATTTCGGAAGCCTACTGGTATGCTGATGAGGTCCTTTGAATAACAAATCTGTCATCTGTGAATGCCTGCTCCCATATTCCAACAAGATGGTATTCACCCTCATACTATCAACATTTTAATGACTTGCCTTTGAAACCATGAACACTCTGCTGCATCTCCAAACCTATTCCCAATATAATAGAATGTTCCTGAGATGCTGTAGGTTGCTCTGTCAAGACTCTGCCACTGCCAAAATATTTGCAAGAACAAACAAGATAAGCTACAGCAGGACTATATTAGTCACCTTATGAATTCCTACAGTTACATGTGGAAATACACATTAAAAATAATGACAGTCTGATGTCCTACTGACACTTATTTTTTCAAGTTGCACAATAAGTCAAATCATTTTTTTAAATCATTTATATACTGAGATTTATTTTTTAAGTTGCACAAGAAATATTAATCATATTACTTTTATTTTTTAATTTATTGTTCTTGGTGACTACTTACTTTTTCCAATCTTTTGAGAATGTGTGCACGCGCACACACGTGCACATATATATATATATGAACATGATAAATTTATGATTTTATGGACATGACTTTTTTTAAACTGTATGTGTGCATCAGTGCATATACATATAGTATATCTATGTGCATTTATACGTAATTTATACGCACTTAGCAATATTGATGGCATAGCACATAGATAGCACAGAACATACTAAAATGTCAGCAAGTATTTTGATGGCGCAAAATGCGAAATGTTGATCCATAATGAACTGAAAATTCTCAGCCAAGGCAGATTAAATCTTAATTTTTATATCAGCAAACATGTTGCAGTCATAAATAATTGGCACATAACTTGCATCTATTTCAAAATGCTTACATTTTGATAGCTTTGTAGTAATAAGAGATCAACACGCAGCAATCCAGCTAGGCAGAAGTGTAGAAAGCAAGTCGTTTGTATTCAGGATGAAATCTTAATTCAGATGTGTTAGTTTCAGTTTTCAATGCATTTGTTTGAAAACTATAAAATAATTATTAGTTGTTTGAGTATTAGTTCCATTTACATCACCAGCGTTATGCAAGAGTCATATGAAATAGATTAATCTTGAAATGATACAGTGTAGAAAGAAATTCCTATTTTTAGAATAGAGAGGGAAAATAAACAAATTAACATTAAGCATTAAGGGGCTATTGCTAATTTAAATTGTAATTTATATTTACATGTTTTTATCTTGCATTATAAAATATGAAATAAAATAAGGTACTATTCGGTTTTGAGGGCCATAAAAAAAATCGCTAAACTATTGTTGATGCCAATGCTGCCAAAAATAATTGCGGTAACCCTAATAATTACGGGAAGTATAATAGTAAATAACTATTTAAGATTGATGTTTTAATTTAGATGAAAAGGTTAATTTCATATAATACTTTTTTATTATTATAATTATATGAAAAAGGCTAAACATGACTGAATGGAAGCATAAGAGTAAATAACTATTTCAGATCATTATTATAATTTATATAAAAATTGCTAAACATAACTGAAATGGATGCCTGCTGCTATCGCTATTTCG